ACACTTGACCTGAGATGTGAGGCTGGAAGAGCCCTAGGAACTTCTGCTTACATTTGTCTCACCAGGAAGCTTTGACTTATGACCTAATTCTGGTATGTCCTCTCCAGTGAAGAAACCACCTTCATCTTCTGAGTTGCCAAGAGACACCAATAGCAGTATAATTCCTTCATTTCATATTATCATATGATATATACATATCAATAATATAAATATTATATATAAATAAATGCAAAAATAAATAAACAATATAATTAACTAACCAACATTAATGATTTCATTGGCATTTTTTTTTTATCCCTCCTGGGCTCAAGCGATCCTACTGCCTCAGCCTCCCGAGTTGCTGGGACTACAGGCATGTGCCACCACGCCCGGCTAATTTTTTTTCTATATATATTAGTTGGCCAATTAATTTCTTTCTATTTCTAGTAGAGACGGGGTCTCGTTTTTTGCTCAGGCTGGTTTTGAACTCATGACCTCGAGCAATCCACCCGCCTTGGCCTCCTAGAGTGCTAGGATTACAGGCGTGAGCCACCGCGCCCGGCCTTTATTGGCGTTTTTACCAAAACATGGTCATGGCTGAAGTGGTATTTTTACACTCACTTTACAGAAGACTAAACTGAGGCTCAGAAGTTGGCCTTTTTGCTCTTTGTTTATACTACCTTCCTTCTTCAGTGTTCCAAAGCTCCTCACGATTTCATGAACCACAGCTGCTCCGCTCTGAGGGTCAATGCCACCAAACACCCATGAGTCTCGGTGGCCTCCAAGAATGACATATCTGTCTAAAAAGCATCATTGCAAGATTATTTGTCATTTCAGGTCAGTAATAGAGCAAATTACAAATGACTCAATAGCATCTAGACACAAAACACTGATGACTCAAAGAAAAATAGTAAGATTCCTGAAGACTTGTGCAAATATATTATTTGTAATTTTAATTTATGTTTTTTTAATCTGAAGAAAGCATGAATCTCATAAAGCAGACATATGTATTACTATAAGTATTATATGGACGTGATTAACAGTAAGATTCAATAATAGCTAGCTATATATTGTTCAGTACTCATTGGGAGGATATCAATATTCTTGATCGCTGCAAGAAATTACTAGCTGCTTGTAAGAAACATATGCAATTTAATGGTATCTGTTTTGATAAGATATATATAAGCAAGCAGTTCTTAAGGAATTGGAATATAATAAACTAAGACTATATATGAAATGTATTAACTAGCAAGTCATCTGAAATCCTGTGGAAATCACATGTCTAAATCTTTCATCATTGACTTTAATTGTGGGAAAAAAAACTATGTAAAAGATTCATTCATTTAAGGTTACCTTAGTTTTCTAATAGTGCTATCTTTTATATCCATGTTTATAGTTACCATGAAGATATTTGCTTATGCAAAATACATGGTAAACAAATCCAGAAAACTCAGAGAAAACACCTCAGAATTCACTCTCCTTACCCTTCCTCCCTTGATCCTTTGAAAGCTGCACAGTTTGTCACTCACTGTGGTCATCCACCCAACTTATCCAAACATTCACTTTTCTTTACAGCATATATCACAATATGAAATTACCTCATATTTATCTAGTTTGTATTTAAGTAGGTTCCATTAGGGCAAAGAGTTGCTTTTTGCTGCTATTGTTGTTCACTTCATACTCCCAGAGTTGGGAGCAGTACCTGGCATATAACAGTTGCTCAATCAATATTGGTTGAGCAAATAATTCGTTTACCTGGTTCCACTGCTCCTCTGAGAGTACCGATCACATTATAAATTCTTGTCACTTCACTGTTGGAATGGATGTGCATCTTGACTTTTCTAATGCAAAGATAAAGGACACATCCATTAAAAAACCTGGTTAATAAATGAACACAGTAGGGGCTAAGGGCATTTTCCCCTCCCCTCTCTAAAGGTTCAAATTTGCTGAAATAAACTGACAATAGATTAACAGGAAAAAAGGCACATAAACTTATTAACATTCAAGTGCACACAGGAGCCAAACGATATGTGAGACTCAAAGAAGAGCCAGATGGCTGAAGCTTAAATAGCACCCTCTTCGTAGGGCATAAGTAGATGGGGGAGTGAAAGCAATTTTGAGGGGTAGTAAATGATTTTTTGGAGAGTTGAGGGCCCAAAGAGCCGACAATAGTTTGTAAATGATTCTCTTTGGAAATTTAATAGGCCTGAAGGACAGTTAATAGCTTGTGACAAAGTCTGTTCAGGTTTGGTGACATTCCTATCTTCCTTCCTGCCTCATAAGCTTAATCTTTTCCGGTTAATGAAATTTCAGGGAGGGAATCTTAGGCAACCATGTTCCTTCTGGAGGAACTTCAGAAAAGGGAAGTTCAGAAAGACAGTTCCACACTGCCCTAGGAGTGGAAGCAGGTCAGAAAGTCCTCGGTTCTGAGACTGCTTCTAAGGCCTTTCAATTTCCTTAAGTTCAAAAGTGTTCAGCATGCCAAAAAGCCATATGATGGGGTATCATTTCCTGAGCCTTAACAACTTTTGTATCTTCCATCATGTGTAAAAGATTTCTAATTGTACATAGGCAAAAATTACATTGGCTAATTTTACCAATATAAAAGTATTCGCCTCTTCAACTTGTGAGTTTCTTTTTGCCCCCCCAGCTTGTACTAGATAGATTTTACTATTTCTACCAGCTTCTATAATTGTTTTTTTTAAAACTCCCCCTAAAAAGGGTTAAAATAAAAGTAGCCTCTTAACTGTGTAGAAAAGTTTCCAGTAAATCCAGGTCCAACATTGTAGGGCACTTTGAGACTTCCCTTCCAGCTGCTATCTGGTGGTGCTGAGCCACCCATTCTTCTGTGGGACATACAAAACAAATATTATTAGCTGAAGGAAAACCTTGAAGTAACAAGTTAAAAATTCCAGTGAATTCACTTCTTGAGTGAATCAATCATCTTCGGATCAATCATCCAGGAGAGAGTACTGGGAATCAACAGAGAGGTGACAGGAATGAAATGAAGAGAGAGATGGGACAACATAATCAGAGGTACTTAGGAAAGGTGCCCACATGGGGGGGAAGGGACAGAGGAGAAAACCATCCCAGATAGAGGACTCCACACTTCCCCTTAGGACATTGAAACCCGAGCTGCAGGAGGGCACCTGGGCCCTGAGGCTGGCGCCATTGTGGCTTCATAGCCCCATAGAGCTACATCTACCCAGGGGTTAGACCCCTAGCTACTACCTCCCCCTCACCCCTGCTGGGTGGAGAGGAAACCAGGAGTCCCGGCACGTGCACACATCCTGGGGGCAGGTGCCATGCACCCCCCCACCACTTCCACTGGGGGACCTGGGTGGAGCAGGAGAACCACAGACCCCAAGCTACTGCTGTGGCCTGGGTGACCTTGCTCAGCCACACTTCCCATGAGACATAGGTAGAGCACATGCCTGTAGTCCTCAGAACCCACCACCCACTGTCAGGGTGGCTGGACCACCTTCGCTGCCAAGTGGGAGGCTCCAAGTGGGGCGAAAGCCAGTGTAACTGCTGTCTCTGAACTTAGGCAGACCACCCCCCATGGGCCCATGCCATCCCACACATGCAATGCATTCTGCACCCTCCCCATGTATGTGCCGCACCCCTAGGGCCCACCACATCCTACACAAATGCCCCATCCTGTTGCCAGCCCAACCATGTGCATGCATTTGCCACACAGCCCACCCTGCCACAATGACCCTGTGATAATCAGGGGAAAACAGGGAGATGCAGCAGAGCAGCAGTGAGTGTTAAAGGCTCACAATGCATCTGCCTCTCTCTTGCCCTGTAAAGCTTCCAGTGTAGGACTTAAGCATGCCATCCAGGGACCCATCCTTATCTTCACCAACCAACAAAAGTCCAGCAGAGGAGAAAAGGTGTACCATATCTGCTATCTGTTTTGAGCTGAGAGAAAGGGCCCCAGATGAGAAAGAATCAGCATAAAAACTATGGCAACATAAAAAACAAAACAGGTTATCTTGACACCACCAAAGGATCACAGTAGCTCTCTATTAATGAACTCCAAGAAAAAGGAAATTCTTGAAATGGCAGATATGGAATTTGATTATGGATGGCAAGTAAGATGAATGAGATTGATGTGAAGGTATAAAACCAACTCAAGGAAACCAAAAAAACAATTTAAGACATGAATGAAAAATTCACTAAAGAGACAGGTAACACAAGAAAAGATATAACAGAACTTAAAGAAATGAAAGAGTCATATAGCAGAAAGTTTTAACAGACTAAACCAAGCAGAAGGAAGAATTTCAGAGCCCAAATAGCCATAGCAATCATAAGCAAAAAGAACAAATCTGGAGGTATCATAGCACAATTTATAATTGACTTCAAATTATACTACAAGGCTACAGCAACCAAAACAGCATGGTACTAGTATAAAGGTAGACAAATAGACAAATGGAATAGAATAGAGAACCTAGAAATAAAACCATATTGATATGACCAACTGATCTTTGACAAAGCCTGCAAAATCATTCACTGGGGTTAGGACACCCTATTCAATACATGGTGTTGGGAAAATTGGATAGCCATGTGCAGAAGAATGAAACTGGATCCTTATCTCTCACCATATACAGAAATTAACTCAAGATGGATTAATGCCTGAATGTGAGACTTGAAACCATAAAAATTCTAGAAGAAAATGTAGGAAAAACTCTTCTAGACATTGACCTAGGCAAAGAATTTATGAGTAAGACACAAAGAGCAAACATGAGCAAACATAGCAATAACAATAATACATAAATGGGACTTTATTAAGCTAAAAGGTTTCTGCACAGCAAAGGAAAAAAAAAATCAACAGAGTAAACAGCCAATCTTACAGAATGAGAGAAAATATTCTCAAACTTTACATCTGACAAAGAATCTACAAAGAAATCAAACAAACCAGCAAGAAAAAAAAAAAAATAATAACCCCATCAAAAAGTGGGGAAAAGACATGGACACATTTTTCTCAAAAGAAGATAGACAAATGGCCAAGAAACATATGAAACATCACTAATCATCAGGAAATGCAAATTAAAAAATACACCTACCATTCAATCCAGCAATCCCACTACTGGGTATCTACCCAAAGGAAAAGAAGTCATGATATCAAAAAGACATGTGCACTCAAATATTTATCACTGCACAATTCACAATTCCAAAGATAGACAACCAACCTAAGTGCCTATCAACTGATGAGTGGATAAAGAAAAGGTGATGTGTGTAATATATATTGTGATATATCTATATCATCAAGTACTACTCAATCATAAAAAGGAATGAGATAATGTCTTTTGCAGCAACTTGTATAGTACTAGAGACTTCCTAAGTAAAGTATCTCAGGAATGGAAAACAAATACCACATGGTCTCACTTATAAGCAGGATCCAAATGAGGGATACATGGTCATAAAGAGCAGTAATGAACATTAAAACTAAGAAGGGGAGAGCACAGGAGGGGAGTAAGGAATAAAAATCTACCTATTAGTTACAATGTGCTCCATTCTGATGACACTATGCTGAAAGCCTTGACTTCAGCATGATACAATTCACTCATGCAGCAAAAAACACTTGTAGGCCGGGCGCGGTGGCTCACGCCTGTAATCCTAGCACTCTGGGAGACTGAGGCAGGTGGATTGCTTAAGCTCAGGAGTTCGTTATCAGCCTGAGCAAGATCAAGACCCCATCTCTACTAAAAATGGAAAGAAATTACTTGGACAGCTAAAAATATATAGAAAAAATTAGCTGGGCATGGTGGCATAATGCCTGTAGTCCCAGCGCTACTCAGGAGGCTGAGGCAGAAGGATTGCTTGACCCCAGGAGTTTGAGTTAGCTATGAGCTCAGCTGATGCCATGGCACTCTAGCCCAGGCAACAAAGTGAGACTCTGTCTCAAAAAAAACCCAAAAAACACTTGTACCCTCTAAATTTTTTTAAATTAAAAAACATATATATAAACTCAAAATAAAATACAAAAGTCAATCAATATAACATTCCATATTAACAAGTGAAAGAAGAAAAAAACACATGATCATATTAATTGATACAATAATAAATCAAACAGCCCCCCCCCCAAAATTGGGAGAATTCCACACCAATTCATGATAAAAACTCGCAGAAAACTGGAATGTTAAAAGAAAATACAAAATGAGCCCAATATTTCGTGATGTTAGAACGTAAGCATGTGTTTAGAAATGTGTGGGAAGAAATGTTCTTTCATATATTGCTGGTAGGATGTAAAATGATTTACTCTAAGTAAATATGCTGTTGTGATAGGGCCCAGCAATTGCACTCCAGAAAAATGAACACTTACACTGACACAGAAATCTGTACATAATTATCTGTAGCACCTTTATTCATAGGAACCACAAACTGGGAACAACCCAAGTACCCTTCAATGGATGGTAAAGGGGGTACAATGATGTGCCAGAATTTTCCTATTTATCATGAAACCTCTATCAAGCTGTAACCTTCTGTACTAAATTGTGAGCCATTTGAGAACATAGACTAAATATAATTCATACTTTTACCACAGTACTGAAATGTAAAAGTCATTCCATCAATAAATGTTCCTTAAACGAATGGACTATGGGAAGCCATTAAAGGTCTCCTGAGCAGAGGCGTAATAATGAGAAAATGTCATGACTGATAGAGGTGCCTACTAAATGCTTGTGTTGTTGAGTAGAGAATGAGTAGTGTTTGTCAAAGCTGTCTTTTGCACTAGACACGAGTTTGGGTCCCAGCTCTATTGCTTACTGTCTGAACTTTGGTTTTCCTTTTTGTAAAATGAGTATCACAATATTAACTCATATAGTCGTTTTACGGGATAAGTGAGAAAATACATGTAAAATGTTTAGCACATTTGTCTTACATAGCCGTAGGGCAGTAAAAAAAAAAAACAGGAAAATGAAAATACATATTTTAAGTAAAAAAATTAAAAAAATAAAAGACAAAGAAGTTTAAAAAAAAAAAAGCGTTTAGCACAATAGTGACTGCTGGTGCCTAATTAGCACTTCATGCATGATAGATGCTATTACTATTACTGTTGTTGCTATCATTATCATCCTAGGAGTTTCTCTAGAAGAAAAATAAAACCCACACAGTCACACTCCCTTTAGTATAAGTGTAAAGAAAAATAGGAAAGAACATGCATGGTGTCTCCTTTTTCTTCCACCCAAGTCAACATGTAGTTTTATTTTACTCTAACTCACATATCATCAACTTTTTATTTTAAGTTCTCAGCATTCTTGGGCCATTATATGACATTATATTTCTCCTCCTCTTCTCATATATTCATTAATAAACTTTCATTTCATGATATATCCAATTTGTTAAACACCATCTTTTCTAATTAACACAAAATGTTAAACTGCTAATCACTTGTGGGGATCTGAGAATTGACTATCATGAACTGGCACACTTCCAAGTTAAATATGCAGGAGGGAATAAACTTTTACAGTGAAGTTCATAAATAAATCATATGCTCTTTTTAAAAAAAATTTAAAGCACAATTCTAATTATGTAGAATGTTTCATTATGCCTTGAAAAGTATGAATGAAGAAACAGGAAGTATCCTAAAATAGGACATTTATTATGGTGTCTTTAATACAAAATACACTTGTCTATGGAAGTTATGTTATTAATGGTGACTACTTTTACAGATGGCTTACAGAAGCTGACAAAATAATTTGAGATAAACTGCATTTGTAAGTTTTCAATCAAGTAATTCTACTACACAGTGAGGACAAGCTGATACTGACCTACTTCACCAGAGCATTCAAATAGTAGACATGTTTAAATAAATCTTATATTCAATTCTATTAATATATGATTTCACACATTCTTTTCTAATTACAAAGATAACAGATTCATTTTTAAACCTTTATGTAACTGAGATGATAATATTATATATATTGTTGTGAAATTTGCTTTTTTCCACTTAATAGTATATCACAAGCATATTTTCATATCACTAAATATTCTTGCACAACTTACATTTTAATGGCTTCCTGCACCATTATAGCCAGTAATATATGTGACTCTTTATCAATTGCTGGAGATTTGTGTTGTTTATAGTTTTCTACTATTATAAGCACTGCTACAATCACTTTCATCTTTTAAATGTCATGAATATTCAGACTTTATTTATAAATATTAATATTTTCAGGTGAATGCATAGTCCACGGTGTCCTCAAAAGTTGTGCCTGATCTTGAATCTTAACTGATGTGGTAAAGCTAAGAGCCCAAAAGGAAAAAAAAAAAGGACCAGGCTACTTTCCTAATGTATCCTTTTTTTTTTTAATTTTTTTTCTACAATTTTTTTTCCTTTTATTCTTTTTCTTCCCACATGTTTCTGAGCAGAATGTATCTTTAAATCAAACAGATCTCTCCAACTCTCAGGCTCTCAGCCTTGTTATATCTGTAAAAATGAGAGCCTTGCACTAGGTCATAAAATGCTTTCTCATAGATACTGGAATAAAATGATTAAGAATGCCTTGAACTCAAAGAAGAGGGACTATCTAGCCGGACACTTTGGTTTCTAGCAGCTTCACTTCCAGAAAAGCCACTATTCTCTCCCCTCCTAAAGAATCACGGAGGAGAGACATGCAGTTGGGAGAAATAGCACAGGAAAGGGGAAAGTGTTCCAAAGCCAGGGTAAACGGTAACAAAGCTGGAGAAGTTTCAACGAGGAAAACAAAGGGGTAAGAGGAAGACAGATACAAATAAAATGGAAGTTGCCTTCACAGTGTGTTATTCTGGGTCCTCCAAGAACACAATAAGAAATATAGACAAGTCAGAGGTTTATTAGGGGAAAGGACTGTTAAGGGAAATAATGAGGGAGCGAGGGAAGGCTGAGAAAGACTGCAATATAGGTCTGATACTGAGTAAAGGAGAACGGGAGGAAGAAAAGAAAGAAGGAGCATTAGTGGCAGCATCTATTTCAGCAAGGCTAACAGAGAGCTTTGGGGCCCAAGCCTCACATCAGAGGAGTTCTGTGCCTTCCAGGAATGGGCCTGTCTTAGCACCCCTGCCACACTCAGTCACTGTCAGGGAACAGCTATGGGAAGCATGGCGTGGGCACAAACAAGGTGATGGGTTCCAAAGCACAGTGGCCGGAATGATTGGTCAATTATGCTTTCTGCAGTTAGAGATCTGAAACACTCATTTTCATAGCTGTCAAACACTAGATACCCATATAGATAGTAAATTCCATAATAGAACCATTATTCTATAAAATAGTGACAAAATTTCATGCTTCACCATCTCAGAGAATTTCAGTACCAAATAATGGAGATAAGAGCATAATATTTGTAAACATCAATAATAAGAATTACTCACACCATCCATTTGTTTCTTACAAACTTACTCTAGGAGTTTCTGTGCATCATAGTATCCAATTGGATGAACAGGAATACTTGGAAGGCCAACAGCCTCTATAAGTCCATGCCTATAAGCATATTCTAGAAAAAAAAAATAATTGAACATAACTTCCAACAAAAACTTAGGACCTTTGAAATGGCTCTCTATAAATCATATTGAACACATTCTCATTTCACATTAAGTATTGTTGTTATGATTTTTTTAAATATTGGCAATTCCAAATGTTAGCAAGAATGTGGAACAAATTTTAAAACTCTCATTCATTGCTTGAGAGTCTAAAATTATACAGTCGCTTAGGATAATTCTTTAGAAAAGTAATGTTAAACAGAAATATACACTATGGCACAGCGATTCCACTCTTAGGCATTTACTCAAGAAAGATGAAAACATATGCCCATAGAAAGACCTGTACAAAATTGTTTATAGCAGCCACATTTATATGAGCCAAATATTAGACACATTTAGGTTTCTGACAACAGAATGAAAATATTTAATACAACTATTTAATATAGTCCCACAATGAAATACTACTCAACAACTAAAAAGAACAAACTACTTACTATGCACACACAGTAAGATGAAAAATCTCAAATCACTACACTGAGTGAAATAAACAAGGCACAAAGAAAATACCTACTTTCTGACTCTACTTTTATGAAGTTCAAAACCAGGCAAACTAATATATAGTGATTGCTTCTGTAGGGTACAGTGAAAATATACCAGAAAGGGGCACAAAAAAGTTTTCTGGAGTGATGGGGGATGCCATTACATATTATTCTGGGTGACATAAATGTATGCAATTTTCAAACTGTATTGAACCAAACTCTTAAGGTCTATGCATTTTATTGTATCTAAAATCTACCTCAAAATAAGAACACATATTCCATAATTTCTTCAGATTCAAGTAAAATTAGAGCTGTGTTTTCAATTTTTTCCTCCAAGTTTTTAAATTATCTAGTAAGAAACTTAGGTAATTGCAAAAGCTTATTCTTTTTATAAGTAAAATGACATAATGATCTGCTATATGGGATTTGTTTTTAAATTCTCCAGAGTAATCACAAAAAGGGGCACGATGAATACATAAAACATGATTGACAAAGTGTTGATAACTATTTCCACTTTTGTATGTTAGAACTGTGTATGGCCATATTACTTTTAACATACGCAATCTCATCTGTATATGTTAGAATATATGCCACATATAAAAAGTGAAATTAAAAGGAATAAAAAAACAAATAGGGCACAAAAGGAAATTTGATAAATGTTAGCCCCATAGAAATAAAATGATTTTCTTCTCTAAAAATACTATCATTCAAATTTGAACATAATCAACAAAAATATTCCAGTTAATCTCATTTCATTTTCACAATTTTGGCTTTGTATAACTAAAAGAACTTCGGAGAAGCTGCATTTTTTTAAAACTTGGAAATAAAAAGGTGGAGTAAATGAGGTCAGGTAGATTCATACAATTTTATTATAAGGTAAATATATTGTTAAAAAAAAGAAAACAATTTATGACAATATTCTATGCTCTGAGAAGATTTACAAAGCCAAAAAATATATAATGTTTAGAGGAGTCTACAATTTAATAAAAAACCAGATGAGGAATAAATATGTAAAAGTCACATATACTTTGGCAAAGAATTTTATTTAGGTGTGTTCTGCACTGCAGTCTTGTAACTATCTAAAAAAAAGAATTTTATTTAAGTCATACAAATTTACTTGGTTTTAAACTACACATAGTAAATGATCGCAGATTTTTGTAAGCATCATCAGATAGCTGAGTATGTTCAAAACAAAGAGCTCCCTTTGCTAATGTTTCACAGCAAAAGACAAGTATGTAGGCTCTGGGAGCCACACTGCCTAAATTTGAATCCCAGCTCTTCACTTCTTCACTTGGTGGAGTGATTATCTTGGACAGATTGCTTATTTTTCCTAGTCTCACTTTCCTCCCTCTCAAATAGAGATGATTACACTACCTAGCTTATAGGGCTATTAATGCAAGTAAAGCACTGGAATTTAGAAAACACTCCTTGAAAGTTATCGCCATTAATTTTATATAGCAAAAAAGCAACATGCATTATCTGGGCTCTATATTCCAAATGTGAAATTTAATGAGTTTATAGAACTTTTGTTCTCCTGTCCTTTATCCACAACTGGGAACCCCCCCCCAAAATGGTGAAAACCATACATTTCAGGGGAATTTACTTGACAGCAAAACCTGATCTGATCTGAACTCATTTGACAGCAAATGATTTGAGTAAATATGAGTCTATTCACATTCCTGTTGACCCCCACTTAGGGTGAGTGTGCATACATTCTGCTGCACAAATATTTATATGCCTGTTTCTTATTTCTGTCCCAGTCCCCATGTGAGTGTTATGTCATATATGGTATATGTACCATATTACTTGTTAAATATCTGAAAAAGTCTGAAGTGCAAAGCCCATCAAACCTAAGCTTCCAGATAAGGGATAAAGGAGCTGAGCTGAGCTGATAATCTTGAGAGCTTAAAATTTTTAAATTTTTAAATGCCAAGAGAATAAGAAAAAGACATATACAATCCATTGTGCCAAAGGAAATTCTTTAATGAAATCACTTAAAAATGTTACATTTGTGGTGATGATAGAGGTCTGACCACTCACCGTTTGCTGGGTAGCCTGGTGTGAGAGGATCTCCTGCACCATTAAGATTTAGGACATTTCCACGCTGGACACCACCTCCAGGAAGATTCCAACCATTTGGATAGGGTTCCACCCCAGGGGCAACGTAGTCAGCAGGGTCTGAGTACAAAATGACTCCTTTGGCCCCCGCCAGCTGGGCATTTTTAACCTGGAAAACACAGTGCCTTTCTTTAAGTTTGCTGTTCCCGATTTGGTAACATCAATTTTCAAAATTACACTTAAACGAGTAGTAGAACTTTATCTTCAACCCTTTGTTGTTAGGCTTACAACAAAGGGCATCTCATAGAGAACTGACTTATGCTTTTACCTAAAAGCTCTAAAAATGGATCAGGCCTAAGAGCAGCAGATTTGGAAAATTTTCATGGTAGTGGTAGCAAGTGCTTGCTGTCTCCTTCCACTAGTCTAGAAGCACAATAAGCAAGTAGACTCCATAGGCCAGATTCTTATTTGTTCTATGGCTGAAAGGGAATATTTTTGAAATTTCATTTCCCACAAAAGAAAATGAATATATTAACAAATCAAGTGATAGTAGTAATTTTAAAATCTTCAGGCTGGGCATGGTGGCTCATGCCTGTAATCCTAGCACTCTGGGAGGCCGAGTTGGTAGGATCACATGATGTCAAGAGTTCAATACCAGCCTCGGAAAGAACGAAACCCCATCTCTACTAAAAATTGAAAAATTAACCAGGTATAATGGTGTACACCTGCAGTCCCAGCTACTAGGAAGGCTGAGTCTGGAGGATTGCTTGAGCCCAGGAGTTTGAGGTTGCTGTGAGCTAGGCTGACTCCACTACTCTCTAGCCTGGGCAAAGGAGTGAGAGTCTGTCTCAAAAAAAAAAAAAAATCTTCTGTGTAAGTCGATTTCTCTCCTTACCTATAGTAACAATTCATATTTAAATTTAATTTAGTAAATATTTTTGGAGCTGATATTTAAAACAAAGATATTAAAAGTTAATAAACCTAGTGCATGCTTATTTGTAGGCCACAGACTTAACGTAAGTACAGAAAAATCTGTTCTGTTCACCCTGACCATCTACAGGCCAAATCTTGATGATCCAATTTAACCTCTGCCTATAAACTAGTAAATGTGTTGTCCCTGTAAGGTGGGCATGAACATAAGGGGATCATGGTATTCAGATGGTTTTAAGGAGATGGTTCTACACATGTAAGATCCACTATACTATTTTATATTAGGTAAAAGAAAAAACAGATGATTTTTACCTTATTTCCTCTGAAAACTTTTCCATATCTGGCAATCACAATTTTCCCAGAGCAATTGATTTTCATGTCCCGTTCCAGTTTAAAGAAGTCTTCAGTTCGTGCATAGTTAACATACACTAGATCACCCTGTTGAGATCAGGAATGATTTAGTACAAGGTACAATACAAGGAGGTTTCTCTGCATGGGAACTGTTTGACATCTTTGAAAGAGAAGAGAGGCAAGAGCACATAAGAAAGAAAAGCATGAGCCTCAAAGAAGAGATTCAATAAAGAAATGAATTTAAATTGAGAGAGCAATTGCATGGGTTACACACATATGATTTATATGAATTTTATCTGTATCTGACCCCTAGATAGTGGCTATAAAGCTATAGAAGAACTCTTCCCACCCACAAAATGCATAAAATATGCACATTGCTGCATGTAATTTGAAGGGGTGCAGGCATCTTAGGCTAAGAAGTCCTTGATGAGAACTTTACTCCCTTTAGAGTACATTCACAAATAGTAGCTTAATGAGTCTCCATAAATATGGAGGTAAGGAAAAATGGACAGGTAATATCATTGTTTTATGGGCCTGGTTTTAATCATTATTAGTATGATTATGTGCAAGTCTTATAACATCTCCAAGTTCCAATACTCTCATTTGTGAAATGATCTGTCAGATTAGATCAGTCATCTTCCAAAATTTTTTGCTCACCTCGTCCCTAAATTAATTTTGAAAAGCAGTGTATTCCCTCATATATTTTACATTGACATCTAAAATTCTTTTACCATACCATTAAGTAATTGCAAAGAAAGCAATTTCTAGTATTTTAGAAGCAATTCTACATAACTTTTTATATATATCTAAAGGAATTTAAATACTATATTTACTATTCAACATCACCTATTTAAAAAAAAATACATGAACACACTCTTCTCCACCATCTGAATTTTATCATTCGTTTTACTTCTTGAACTTGTTCCTTCCCCCACAGCATTTTACTCTAAAGGAAGACATATATCTGTGCTGGACACAGTGATGTGCTGCCCAGGACATTCAATACAGGACTTCTTGCTCCAGGTACAGGGAAAACTCTCTGCAGAAAATTTTCAGCTGCCTGCCCCTTCAGGAATTGCCTTAGCTGCAGATATCCACCTTGCTCCAGGTCATGCCCATTCATAAGGTGCCACGCATTCAATCAATGATCTATGTGAGAGTAGCAAGACCTGGACATTTCAGTCTAACTTAGAAACAATTCATAAGTACTACTCCTGAGCTCTCCATAGGGTTGGCCAAGGCTGTCCTTGAGCTGGCATTGCAGTGCGACTTTTCCGTCTGCCCTATCCAGCTACCCACCACCATAGATGTTTATCCCAAGAAAACACTCCTTAATTATCATTTAGCATGCTAAATTCCATTTCAGATTTTATTACCTAAAATTTAGGTATGCTTGAACATCTTTTATTATTCACTGTCAGATTTCCTTGAAGTATATGTATATAAGTCAATTTTTTTTTAATTTCAAAAATTTAGGGGGTTACAAGTGTTTTTTGTTACATGGGTAAATTGTGTTATGCTGAAGTCAGGGCTTTCAGTGTACCTGTCACCAGAATAGTATACATTGTACCCAATAGGTAAATTTTCATTCCTTATCCTCCTTCCTCTCTCCCCACCTCTTAGTTTCTAATGTCCATTACTGCTCTTTATGACCATATATATCTTTCGTTTAGCTCCCAATTGTAAGTGAGCACATGTGGTATCTGTTTTTCAATTCCTGAGATACATCACTTAGGATAATGGTCACCTGTTCCATTCAGATTGCTGCAAAAGACATTTAATTTCTTTTTATGACTGCATAGTACTCCATGATATAAATATACCACATTTTCCTTAGCCACTTATCAGTTGATGAGCACTGAGGTTGATTCCATATCTTTGCAATTGTGAATTGTGCTGTAATAAACTTTCAGGTACAGGTGTCTTTTTAATAAAATGATCTCTTTTCCTTTGGGTAGATTCCCAGTAGTAGGATTCCAAGATCAAGTGGTAGGTCTACATTTGGTTCTTTGAAGAATCTCTATACTTTCCATAGTGGTTGTACAATTTACATTCCCACCAATAGTTATAAGCCTTCCATTATTTTAACTGAAACTACACCAGTATCTATTGTTTTTAACTTTTTAATAATGGCCATTCTCACAGGGCTAAGGTAATATCTCACTTTGCTTTTAACTGATAATCTGGAAATAGATTTCCTTAAAATCATCTCATGCCTGCCCTTGGAAAGTTTTCACACACCCCAGTTTGAATCCCATGTCTACGGTGATTTCCAATATACTATAATTTTATTTTTGTTATTATTTTCCTTTTTGACTACATTTGTTATAGCATGTACACAACAAATTTACATGAGATATTATGATTCTAGAATTCATTTGACAAATTATTAATATTTGGAGACATATTATGCATCAGCAGTGTTCTAGATAATACAATCAATTCCTGCCCTTTCAGGAACTTGCATTACAAATGCTACTAGATTTACAATGGGGTCATGTCCCAATAAACCCACCATAAGTTAAAAATATCACATGTCAAAAGTGCATTTTTGACTTATGATATTTTTAATTTATAATGGGTTTATCTAGATGTAATCCCATTGTAAGTCCAGAAGCACACTAAATGAGTATGGCTCTCACCATCATAAAGTCAAAAAACCGTAAGTTGAACCATCTTAAGTTGGGGACTGCCTGAAATATGGATGGGAAAAACATAATAAGATAGTAAATACTAAATTGAATAACTAAAAAAGTTATATAGAACATTAAAAGATAAAACGTACTATAGAAAAATTTTACAAATTTTAAATAGAGTAGGCAAACAATGAACTAGTGCTTGAGTGGATGCAATTTTAAACAAAATGAGGGCAGTCTGATTGCTTCAGTAAAATGGTTACTTTCAGCTCTTGTATTTCTTCCTAATACCAGTGCAATATTAATTAGTGTACTGTTAATGATATCACGATGTCTGATTTATAATTGTTAGCCCTCTCGGGAGCACACTCTTATTCTATTTAATTGTGGCTACAAAGTCATTAACCAATTTGATTTCAGCAAAATAATTTTTTTAGTATAAATATTCTACTTGAAATTTATCCTTAATTAATATCACTGACTTTGAATGTCTCTAAATGGTGGCTATCTTTAATACATAAGCAATCTTCACAAAACAAATTATAATGGAGAAGGAACTGAAAAATACATTAGTTTTAAAATGATAGTAAACTTCGAAAATGAAAACAAGTGTAATAGATATGCTTCCTCAGCACTTCTCAAATGCAAGTTGTCACTGTTAGGTAGAAAAAAGCTTTGTTTTCAGACAAAGACCTTCTTGTATAATTTACACTGTACCATTGTTCTATGACTGTGAATAAATACAATCTTGCACTATTGGCATGGAATTTTCCCTGTTTCCTTCAAGCTTCCATCGTCCTGCCCTTGTTAACAGAGACAGAATTGGGAGGCAAAACCAGTGGTTTTCAAAGCATGGTCCATGAACCCTCAGAAGCAAGGTCACCTGGGACCTTGTTAGAAACACAAACTTGAGGTTCCACCCTAGACCTACTGAAACTCAGAGGGTGGGAACCAAACTCTGTTTTGCAAGCCCTCCAGGCTATTGTGATAGACGCTAAAATTCGAGAACCAGTAAATTAGATCATATTTTATGGACATTGTCAAATGCTAATTTTATTTTATTTTTTAATTTTTTATGAGACAGAGTCTCGGTTTGTTGCCCAGGCTAGAGTGAGTGCCCTGGCGTCAGCCTAGCTCACAGCACCCTCAAACTCCTGGGCTCAAGCAATCCTCATGCCTCAGCCTCCCACGTAGCTGGGACTACAGGAATGTGCCACCATGCCGGCTAATTTATTCTATATATTTTAGTTGGCCAATTAATTTATTTCTATATATAGTAGACACTCTGTCTTGCTCTTGCTCAAGCTGGTTTCTAATCCCTGATCTCGAGCAATCCGCCCGCCTCGGCCTCCCAAAGTGCTAGGATTACAGGCGTGAGCCATAGCGCCTGGCCAAAATGCTAATTTTAAATAGCCTAAAGCAGAACTTCAATATTCCACAGGACTCAGATGCAGACTCAAAGATTATTGACAGTGAACCACCTTAAACACACGTATAGACATACATAATTCAAAAAGAATTCTCACTCCACTGGCTGAGCTACAGATGATCCAGTGAGGCAGAACAACCTGCAGAAACATCTGATATTTGAACATACACCACAGTCCCATACAGAATCACATGTTCCGGCTGGGCGCTGTGGCTCACGCCTGTAATCCTAGCTCTTGGGAGGCCGAGGCGGGCGGATTGCTCAAGGTCAGGAGTTCAAAACCAGCCTGAGCAAGAGCGAGACCCTGTCTCTACTATAAATAGAAAGAAATTAATTGGCCAACTGATATATATACATAAAAAAAAAAAAAGATCACATGTTCCTTCTATCCTGCCATTGATCTGGAAGAATTTAAGTCTTTTGAAAGAAGTAAGAGATAATAATTTTTATTGGCTTTTTCTTACGAATAGAATAATGTCAAAGTCCAAATATCATCTGAGATATTTTAATTGTTTATGCAGTAAACCTAAATACTAATCTGAATGTAATTTTCTCCTGATAACATTTTGTTTTCTCATCAAGAAACATAACCTGTTTCTTTCTTTTCTTTTCTTTTTGAGACAGAGTTTCACTCTGTTTCCCGGGCTAGAGTGCCATGGTGTCAGCCTAGCTCAAAGCAACCTCAAACTCCTGAGCTCAAGCGATCCTCCTGTTCAGCCTCCCAAGTAGCTGGGACTACAGGCATGCGCCACCATGCCTGGATAATTTATATATATATATTTTTTAGTTGGCCAATTAATTTCTTTCTATTTTTAGTAGAGACAGGATTTCGCTCTTGCTCAGGCTGGTGTTGAACTCCTGACCTTGAGTGATCCTCCCGCCTTGACCTTCCAGAATGCTAGCAATACAGGCGTGAGCCACCTCGACCGGACTAACCTATTTCTTTATACATAATCTTTTCACTGCCCAATATATTTTCCAGTATTCAACTAGTTCACATTTGTTTAACTTTAAGATTTGCAATATGTATTTTATATTTATAACAATTTTAAATTAACTTCTGCATTACATTTTCCACTATCATATGTATTTAGCTCCAATCTGGTAATATTAATACTATTTAAAAATAAAGATTTATTAGTTAATATTTTTGTATTTTATTGCTATATAGTTATATAACTGTAAATAATGAGGAAGGAGAGTTAACAAAGGCTATTCAAAGTGCAAAAATGTAAAGAGAATAATTTGACAATATTAAAATTAAGGGTTTCTTTTAAATAAAAGGAAACATAGATAAACAAAGAGATGAAAAATTAGGAGACAATATTTGTAAAATCTAAAACCAGTACAAGATAAATAATTAAAATGTTTAAGAAACCCCTAAAAGTTAGTAAGGAAAAGGTCAGAAATTCCACAGGAAAAGAAAAAGTAAAGTAAAATCATTTCACAAAATGGAAAACTAGAATAGCTAATAAATCAGTATATAGAGAGACGAGCAAACTCATTTGTTATCAGAAAAATGTGATTTAAAACAAATTAAAACAACATTGAGACAGGCAAAAATTATCAAGTTACATAATTTCAAGTACTGATGAAAACATGAGAAAAGAGGAACACTCACATACTGTCAGTGGGAATATAAACCACTACAGCCTGAACTCTGTGAAATTACACATTTCCTACAACCCAGCAATCCCATGCTTGGTTTATCATTCACAGAGAAACACTGACAGGCCTGTACAGAGGCATATGAGAGCATATTCACTCCGACACTGTGATAATAGGGATTTAGAGGCAAACTATCTGTTCACCACTAAGAGTATGGGTAAGTTACTTATGGTGTGCACATAAGATGAAATAATATGCAACAGTGAAAACTAATGAACCACCCTGACATAAAGCAATATAGATAGACTTTTAAAAGATTGAAAGATTGAAAATAGTAAGAAATCAAGTAAGACTTAAAGTATAATACTATTTATGTAAATTTAAAATACATCAAACACAAAAAAAGCCATGCATTTTCAAGAACACATACACAACTAAGAGCTTAAATACATTAAAGTGACTATACTAGGGGATGGGAAATGGAGAAGAGGAAGAGTAACAAGAATTAAGCATGAGAAAGAAAGTAAAAATAAGATAAGATAAACGAGAGACCTCATGTGGACCCATGATGCTAGTGTGCCTTAACCCGAGGAGCAGTGTTGAGCAACTTCAATATAACTGAGATCTAAAATACACTGTCTCTTCATTTCCAGCTGCTATATCCCTTATTCCTATTTCATGTCAATTATAAAATAATTATAATGATTGTAAGCATTCTTATTATGTGCCAATTTTAGGGAAAATTTTTCTAATATTATAGCATTAAACATAACATTAACTGTTCATTTGACATAAATTTAATACATCCAATGGAAAATATTCTAATTTTGTGAGATTTTTAAAAGATCAGTTAACAAATTAGATACACTTGAAAAACCATTAAAATAATATATTTTTCACCTTAATATTAATACAAATGTGGCATTACCTGATATTAAATCATCTTTACACTCTTGCAACAATCCTGATTAGTGGAGACAGATTTCAAAATATCAATTCAATTCTAAAGGCAAACATTTTACCTAGGATGTTCCGAATGATAACTAAGCTCTTACTTCCTTATTGTGTCCAACATATCCAACTGTCAACTAGCAACTTCTTGTGAATATGCCCTAGGCACCTCAAAGTCAGCACATTCAAAATTGAATCTACTTACTGTGAAATAGTGTATTTAGGAGAGACAACTTTTTATAAGATTTTAATAAATTATAATCAGCTTTTTCAAATTTAGCTTTCTCACTGATATGCTTTTTTTTGTTTTTTTTTTTTGATATAGAGTCTCACTCTGTTGCCCGGGCTAGAGTGCCGTGGCGTCAGCCTACCTCACAGCAACCTCAAGCTCCTGGGCTCAAGTGATCCTCCTGCCTCAGCCTCCCGAGTAGCTGGGACTACAGGCATGCACCACCATACTCCGACTAATTTTTTCTATATACTTTTAGTTAGTGAATTAATTTCTTTCTATTTTTAGTAGAGACGGGTCTCGCTCTTGCTCAGGGTGGTTTCGAACTCCTGACCTTGAGCCATCCTCCCGCCTCAGCTACCCAGAGTGCTAGGATTATAGATGTGAGCCACCACGCCCGCCACTGCTATGCTTTGATTGTATCTTTTCTGGAATTCAAGTGTTGAAACTTTAACCAATGTGATGGGATTAAGAGGTGAAGCCTTTAAGGGTGATTAGGCCATGAAGGTTGCTCTCTCAAGAATGAGATGAAGATCCTTATAAGAGAAGCTTCACGCAGCAGCCACATGGTCTGCTTGCCCTTCTGCCTTCTGCCATGTGAGGACACAGCATTCCTCCCCTGCAGAGGATGCAGCAGCAAGGCACCACCTTGGAAGCAGAGAGCAGCTCCTACCAGACAACCAAACCTGCCAGCACCTTGACCTCCAACTTCCCAGCCAACAGAAAACAATTTTCTGTTCTTTATACATTACCCAGTCTTTTGCATTTTTTTATAAAAGCACAAACGGGTCTAAGATAGTCACCAAAAAGCTAAGCTCTGTGCAGGAGTCTGGGGATTGATTGTAAAATTTCAGATAGTGCTCATGCACAGTTTGTTGAGTAAACCACATAAAATTTTCTAGAACAGATATCCAAGCTCTTCATTTGGAAATGGCAACAATACTTTTATGCAAACTCTTTGAAAATTAATAAGTGTTATGCAACTATAGTAAAGGACACAGGATATTCATAAAATATTCATAAAATGGAAATTACTCCATAATAAAATGTAACAAGCTACTGATAAATAGTAAAATGTGTGAATCTTATAGACTCTATGCTTAGCGAAAGAAGCTGGACAAAATATATTACATATCATACAATCACATTTATATGAATTTCTAGAACAGGCAAAACTAATCTATAGTGGCAAAAAAAAAGTCAGAAGAATGATTGCCTCATAGGTATGTAGAGATGATTAAGAAGGGGCATAAGGGAACTTTCTGAAGTGATGGTAATATTCTATAAATTGATGGAGTTTGTATTACACAGGTATATGCATTTGGCAAAAACTAATAAATGTGTATTTGGTATTGGTGCATCTCATTGTAGTAAATTTTATCTTAAAAACATCATAAATAAAATATAATATTCCTTTTTCTTACTAAGGAGTTCTAGTTTCTTAAATATGGAAAAAAAGTGAAATGGGATTACATCAAAAATCTATTACCCCTGAATTATTGCCTGAATACAAGAGGGGAAGGAGGGTTTCTATTTTTCATTTTTATTTTATTGTATTATGTTTTTTACCTCTGGCATTCCTTGTGGAGAGAAAGCACTGAAAGGTGGTACAACATCCAAAACATCTTCATATCCTGGAGGAGGTGGTTCAAATAATGATGTGTTGAAAATCTAAAAAAACAAGATATAATCAAAAGTATATACAATCAAAAGTAAATCAGTTAAAGTTTGATCAGTACAATCAAACAAGGAAAAATGCATATTATCTTTCATATAAGTAGAGGGTTAATCAATTCCTCAGCATTTTGATAATACACATCAGATACTCAGCACTGTGCTAGAAGTTGTAAGAAATTCATGACATGAATATTAGTCCTCAAAATGGTAAAATCTATTTAAGGGGACAAAGCTAAACAAATAAAAACAAACAATAACAAAAAATAACTAAGTACTATAGAAAGTTTCTGAATAACTGAAAGAAAAGTTCAGAAAAGGTAATAAGATAATCTTTCAAAGAGAAAATGTAGAACTGTATCCTAATGGAAGAAAGAGGTAGAAATAGATTTTTTGAAAGTGGCATATGACCCAGGCTGGTGTAAATAAAAGCCTAAACATAGAGTTGTTTCACAGAAGATTAGAAGTAAATTAACTTCATGAGGTTCTTGAGTGGGCCTGTAAGGACCAACTTTTGATTTAGGAGAAAAATTTCAATCCCCAAATAAAAAGTAACATTTCATAGTAATCTTAGTCACTTATAATAGTGCTAAGATAATTACTTAGGAATAAATTAAATATTACATTCACTTCAATAAAAATTTACATCTTTGGGAAATTCATATCTGACAGTATCTAGATACACTGAGCAACACACACACACATAAAAAAAAGTAAAACACTGAACCATATGTATGTGTATATGCATATATATGTATAACTATATATATGCACTATAGATAAATATACACTTAAAAAGATATATACACACTTAAAAAGATATATATATATGTGTGTGCATATATATATATATATATTTTTAAGAGTATAATTGAATTGGAAAAAAATAGTGAAAAATATTCAGAAGCCAAAAAAAAGTGAAAGCAGAAAACCTGAGAGGTAGTACTAAAGCCTACTTTGCCTTGTTTGGCTCTATCAAAGCGTGGGACCCCATGAAAAGACACAGGAGTTAAGAGAGTCTAAAGCAGGTCTAAATAATGGAGTCTAATAGAAGATCCCTGCATAAAGCTGATCTCAACAAAACAATATCCTTTAATGTTAAGGATAAATGTGAAATAAACTTATTCTGTGGAAGGTGATAGCTTAGGGTAAAGGAGGAACAAAAGGGCTACTGAAAATTAATAGTCCTATAATCCATTCTCTTCCTAGGTGGTATGCCCCAAGTTAAATAATTTATTTCAAAGTAGCACCAAGTTTGTGGTGCCCCCCCATGGCCCGACAGAAATTATCAGGAGAAATCAGCTTTACACTTAGGCCTTAAAGAATTCCCATTCCCACAAAGTTATAAAAGCTAAAGAACTCAGAGCCACAAAATTGCTAAGCATACACAAAGTACTATTGAAAAGAGCCAATAGGGAAAAAAAAAAGAGTAAAATTATACCTGCAATGACTACATCTTTTGTATTTATCATATACCATATTGAATCCAAATTTAATTGAAAAATTAAAAATAATGTGAGTAAAAAATATTTAGACAAAATTACAGAAAATTAATTGATTTATGAGATAGATCTAAAGAAATAATTCAGAATGCAACACAGAATTACAGAAATGACAAATATTAAAGAAATATTAACAGACCTAAGAAACAAAATGAGTTTAAGGATATATATATTAACAAAGTTCTAAAGGAAGAAGAATGGAGAAGAGCTACATTTGAATATATAATGACTAAGAATATTCCAAAATTGATAAAAATTATGAACTTCAGATTCAGGAATTCCAGTGAATCCTGACCAAGATGAATAAGAAATAATCTATACCCAGCCTATCATAGTAAAACTGAAGTACTAAATATTGTACTTAATGCTAAAAATTGCAAAAGACATTAGACAAGATTACCCATGCAGAGCAAAAATTAGATTGGCAGCTGACTTCTCAACAGTACCAATGGAAGCCATAATTCAGTAGAATATTCTCTCCATGGTGTTAAGGGACAACAACTGTCAAACTACAAATCTATGTCCCACAAAAACATCCTTTTGAGAATAAAAATGAAAGATATTTTCCCATCAAAATTTAACAGTTTGGGACTAACAGATATTCACATAAAACAAAGAAAATTTCTAAAAGACATTGTTCAACATAATAAAAGAAAAATATACAAAGCCTCTAAAAAATCTCTGAGATAATGCAAGAAGGATAGGAAAGCAAAGATACTGCAAATGGTGTAGTAAAACTTAATAGATAAGAACTGTATATAATAATAATAATATTATATTAATATTGTAATAATAAACTTGTATTTTTAAATTTATAAAAATAACATTGAGTTAGAATTATGTGCATAAATTGGTAGTGTTTGACCAAAGTAAAAGCATTCTAAGACTTTTATGTTGCAGAAATATTGATTAAATTATGACACACTAAAGTAGGTATTTTTTTCTTTGTTTGGGTTAAAAAGCATTTTTTAGTTTCCAAACTACTATAAGGAATAAAAGTAATAAAATTAATTAATCCAAAAAAAGGAATGGAGAAAAAGAAGCTTTAGGAAAAAAACAAGAGTGAATTTATATAGTAAGAAGGTAGAAGTGACCTAAATACTGTATATCAGCAAACACAAAAAATGCAATTGGATAAGAATGATCAAAAAGCATAGCATGTCAGACATAATAAAATCATCTGTGTACCATTTTATAAGGAGTGACTTAGACTTAAACATAGGCAAGTATAAAAGTAACAAAACTGACAGGGAAATACCAAGCAAATATTAACTTTTTAAAAAATGTATCTGATAACATGAATTTTAGACCAATGTCAAAGAAGCTTATTGAGAGAGAAAGCTACTATATAAGAGTTTCATTTCACCAACAATTCTAAATTTGTTTACATCTGATAATAGAGCCCCAAACTATAGAAAACAGAAAAGAAAAATCAAAGAAAAATGCACCACTATAGTAAGATAATTTAACATTTATCTCTGCAATTAATAAGAAACACAGATAAAATGAGAACATATTAAAGATAAAGGAAATTTCAGCCAAATAATTAACAAACCCAAACAAAATATCTGGGGGGGGGGACAGGAAGTGTGCCTATTTCAGGAGAGAAGCAAGAAGTTGTCCTGTCTCAGGAGGGAAACAAGAAATGTCCTGCACAGGGGAGAAACAGGAAGTACACCTGCCTTAAGAGAGAAACAGGAAGTGTCTGGCACAGGGAGGAAATAGGAAGTTTCCTGCAAAGCGGCAAGACAGGAGCCTGTCTCAGGAAAGAAACAGGAAGTGTCCTGCACAGGGGAAAAACAGGAAGTGTGCCTGCCTTAGAAATAGGAAGTTTCCTGCAAAGCGGCAAGACAGGAGCCTGTCTCAGGAAAGAAACAGGAAGTGTCCTGCACAGGGGAAAAACAGGAAGTGTGCCTGCCTTAAGAGAGAAACAGGACGTGTCCTGCAAAGGGAGGAAACAGGAAGTGTGCCTGCCTTAGGAGAGAAACAGGAAGTTTGCCTGCCTTAGGAGAGACATATGAAGTGTCCTGCATAGGGGAGAAAGAGGAATTGTCCTGTACAGGGAGGAAACAGGAAGTGTGCCTGCCTTAGGAGAGAAACAGGAAGAATCCCACACAGGGGAGAAACAGGAAGTGTCCTGCACATGGAAGAATCAGGAAATGCCCTGCACAGAGAGGAAACTGGAAGTGTTTCCTAATAATAACTAGTAATAAAGTAATAAACAAATATAAAATATTCAGCCCAAAAACAAATACACATTTTTTTAAGAAACACAGAATATTTTTAAAAAATTAACCACATATTCAGCTCTAACAGAAGCTTCAACAATTGTCAAAGGATTTATATTCTACAGACCTGACATGATTTGATCGCAATATATTTAATTTAGACATCAGATCAAACAGATAACAAGAACAATCTTTCAATTCAGAATTTTAAAAATACTTCTATGTAGTTCTAGGATCACAGAAGAAAACATGGAAATTAGAAAATATTTATATATTAATGATAGCTAAAATACTTCTTATCCATACTTGTGAGATCTAGTTTAAGTGGTTCTTAGAGAGAAACTTAATGTTTCTGTTAGAAAAGAAAGAAGGCTGAACATCAATAAGTTAAGTGCGTTCAACTGAGGATGTTACAAAGAACAGCAAAGTAAACACAAAGAAGGCAATGAAAGGGGAAATTATAAAATTGTTAATCCCAAAGTTTATTCTTTAATATACTAGTAAAAGTGACATAACTCTCTCAGGGCCAATAAGAGAAAATATAACAAAAGTACAAATAAATGATAGTTAGGAATGAAAAAAGAGGCATATTGACAGATCCTACACAAATTCAAAAAGATAAGAAAATACTGGAAATAACTATACCATAAATTTGAAAACTTGGATGAAATGGAAAAATGCATTTTAAAAAACTTATGAAAATTGATGTAAGAATACATTTTTAAAAAATCTAAATATTCATATAACATTAAAGAAAATAGCCCAGTAGTTTAAAATCTTCCATAAAATAAAGTGCTAAGGACAACCACTTCTCCTTGAGTTTAAAAAATTAAAAGAAAAGATCAAGTAATATAACTTGATCTATTTCAGAAAATACTAAAAACTCAACTCATTTGTAAGTATAGTAAAGGCATTCCTTTCAAGACCAGAAGAAAGTCACTAATATCTACTATCATCACTTCTTTCAACATTATACTATAGGTCCTGATTAGAGCAATAATATAAAGAGGGGAGGCGGAGAGTGAATCCCAGCTGATATTATATTATACTATTAATAATTAGAGCACTAGTTATCTGCCTTTTTTGAAGCTGATAGAATCTAAAATGAAACCAAATCAATACCATTCCCAAAATCTTCACATCTTCCAAATTCCCCATATTATTTCTATGATCACCATAAGGTAAAATTACTCTGAATCACTGGGTAAGATTATAAGAAAAACTATGCTAAGGAGCAATAAAAATCCATCTAGGAACACTCATTATATAAGCAAGTCTTTCAGGCAAAGGAGTATTCAAGCTTGTCTCACTGAGTTGCCTTTATGGTAATCACTTTTACAGAACCACTGTGCCACAGTGAATTTTACAGCAAGTTCATGAATTTTTCTAACAACTAGGAAGTTTTCTGAGGTTAAGGAAATGACTTTTTTGGGTTGACTTTAACAAAGGTAGAGTATATATATATATATATATATATCCGTCTTAGAGCATCACTCACTTTCCAAAATTCACTAGTAGCCTCAATTATGTTTTCAGAGTATAACTAAAACAATTTTGGCATACAAATTTCTATTAATACTTTCTTGTGAGATAAAAAGTCAATATAGTGCCAGGTGTGGTGGCTCATGTCTGTAATCTTAGCACTCTGGGAGGCCAAGGCAGGAGGATTGCTTGAGCACAGTAGTTCAACACCAGCCTGAGCAAGAGCAAGATCCCATCTCTACTAAAAATAGAAAAAATTAGCAAATCAACTAAAAATAAAAAATAAATAAAAATAAATAAATGGAAAAGAATTAGCCAGGCATGGTGGTGCATGCCTGTAGTCCCAGCTACTGGGGAGGCTCAGGCAGAATCCCTTGAGCCCAGATGTGAGCTAGGCTGATGCCATGGCACTGTAGACCCGGTCTCTTTGAGACTCTGTCTCAAAAAAAAAATTAAAAATTAAAAAAAGTCAATATATAGTTCAATCTATATGGTATGTTATCTCTATATAACAAAAGTGAAACAATGTCTCTGCATACATTAAAAATATTTCTGATAGGATCCACAAAATACTAATCATATTTGTTGTCTGTGGGGAGGGGAACATATTGTCTGGGTTGTGCAGGAGTATAAAAGGTATCATAGTTTACCACATAGCTCAGCTGTGGATAGTTAGTGATAACAATTAAATGCACTGGGAGATGGCAAATAGTAAGAGCATTGATGATTGGTGCAGAGAGATGAGCACAGAGCTGAATTGTCCCAATGTCAATAGATAATGCCTGTGTCTCAAATTAAAGCAATATAAACATATTATATATGAATATGGAGGTAAAAATAAAAAGAATCAACTCATAATTCAATAGTGATTGCTTCTGGAAAGGAAAAAATAGAAAGCAAGGCACTCTGGAGAAGTATGTGATTATATGCATGTGTAACTTGGATAAAAATAAAAATGAACTAAGGATATAACTTGAAAAAATTAAGAAACCTTACCTAGCTAACCTTCTTACCATTCAGGAAAATCTCCAAAATGAAACTTATGCTGATTCATTTTATATTATGTGACAAGTTTCAGTAACTTTATAAATGCTTGCAATAGCAAAAATAAATAATGAAATAAAATAATAAAAGCAATGGTACAGTCAAAATTTGGAGGTAAGGACAAATGAAAAACAAAACAAAAAGGATGTCTGCTAATTTTCCACATTGCACATAGACAATCCCCAAATTTGAAAGCTCAAAACAGAGGGTTATGTATCTCTTTTAATATTGTAAATATTTTATTATGTCATTAAATAATTTTCCTAAACATATTTGTAAAGACCCTTTAGTACTAAGGTCCCCAACACCCAGGCTGCTGACTAGTACTGGACCTGGCCTGTTAGGAACAGGGCTGCATAGCAGGAGGTGAGCAGCAGGCAAGCCAACAAAGCTTCATCTGTATTTACAGCTGCTCCCATCACTCACATCACCTCCTGAGCTCTGCCTCCTGTCAGATCAGTGGCGGCATTAAATTCTCATAGGAGTGCAAACCTTACTGTAAACTGTGCAGGCGAGAGACCTAAGTTGCGTACTCCATATGAGAATCTAATGCCTGATGATCTGAAGTGGAGCTGAGGCGGTCCTGCTAGCACTGGAGAGCAGCTGCAAATACAGATTATCATTAGCATAGAGGTTTGACTGCACAAACACCATAATAAATCAGTTGCTTGCAGACTCATATCAAAACTCCATTGAGTGGCAAGTGACAATGAAGCTCTATCTGGTGGCAGGCTTAATAGTATATATTACAATGTAAAAATAATATAAATAAAGTGCATAATATCCACATGCAGAACTGTCCGAGATTCAATATTAAAAAAAAAATAAATAAATAAAGTGCATAATAAATGTAATGCATTTGAATCATCCCAAAACCATCTCCCCACCCAACCCCGGTCCATGGAAAAATTGTCTTCCATGAAACTGGTCCCTGGTGCCAAAAAGGTAGGGAAGTGCTGCTTTAGCACTTAATTGTATAGATGTCACCTCTTATTTTATAAATGATCTGAGATTGTTATGAGACTATTGATATAAATTGGTATCCCCAATACCTTTTTTAAAAATACTTTTTAGATTTTGAAATAGTTGAATAATCTTTCAAAGTTAAAATTTTAACTACTATGATTTAAAATAGTAATTAATATGGAAAGATCCAAGTCATATTAGGAAATTTAGCATGGGATTATATCACTGACTACAAAACATAACATATTAATCATTGAGAAGAGATTGATTCATTAGTTATTAAGAGGAGATTATTGCCATATTTTGAAAAGAAACATTTAAATATATATTTCAATCACATGACATTTGCAGTTCACTGACCAAGCTGGACATATTTGAAGCTATGTATAATTTAGAAGATCCAGCAGTAAAAAAAAACTAAAGGAAGCTGTTTAGACTGGTTTTGACCTCCTGACCTTAAGCAATCCACCGGCCTTGGCCTCCCAGAGTGCTAGGATTATAATCATGATCCACCGGGCCAGCCCGGAAGCTGTTTAGACTGAAAGAGACTCTTCTAGGTAGGTATAGTAGCTCTAAAACTAAGATATGTTAAATAGGTATGAATATATGTTATATTTTATGAGCTTTCATACTGAACATATATCATAATAAGAAATATCTCAGTTATCTGCATTATCTTCTCTTTCTCAAGTATGTGACCCAACTTGCAAACTAGATTGGAAATTCTTTATAGTAGGTATCATTCTATAGACCTGGCCTCCAAACGCTCAGCCCCTCCAAATGCCCACACACAAGTTCTTGGCACAGAGCTAAACACATGGTCATTTGAGACATAATCATTAAGTACCAACAAAAACCTGCTAGCTCAAATTGCATACTGGGTTTCTGAACTTCCTAGCCACACCAAATCTATGCAATGCTTAAAAGTTTACTAATATATCATATTTGATATTGGTGTATAACACTAAAAACTAAAAGCAACTGATATCAAGCATTTATTTCTCAGAATCTTTCTAACATCACATTAACTTCAAATGTCATAAGTAGTTGACACTGGTAATGAGATATTAAAGGTATTATTCATAAGATTTAATAATACTGTTTTCTATCAATATTTGGAGATGGCATAGAACATTCTTTTATGGAAGGTATTTGAAACAGAATAGATTGGAGAAATGTTTCTGTTATTCTTTTTTCTTTTACCTCATTTCCATCTTCATCAATTATAGAGATGTAGTTGGGATGAGTTTTATTTGGGTAGGACAACAGGACATCATAATGGGCTAGCTCAACAGAATCCAGGCCAAATTCTTTCCACTGGGATTGAATTTGCTTTGCAAGCTGAAAGTTTTGTTCTGTTCCTGCTAAATGGGGTATCCGTGTAAAATTACTGGTAAACAAAAATTGAAAATGGTTAGAATTAATGTTTAGTCAGACTTCATTTCAAACCAACAACAAAACAAAGTATATTTACACAAAAAAACTTTGAAATGTGATGTGCTAAAAAAGCAAGGTGGTACTATTATTGCATTGCTATTATGGCATTGAATAGATTTTCAAAGTCTGCTTTTAAATTTTCATGCTCTAATTTTTTTAGTTCAAGAGAAAAACTGGAGAAACTAATATTTGTAGAGTATTATTATGTGCAATCCTATGGCTATAACTCCTTATGGTAGATGACTAAGGTGTCAAATACTCTTCTTAAAACCTTTGCATCTTGGAACTTTAATGGAATCATGTTTATTTCATTGTGTAAAATGTATTTGAGAGATAAAAAAATAATTTTATGCAAAAGACTAGGCAGTGACATGGCAAGAATTACTAATAATTACACTTATTTAAATATTAAAAGTTATAGACAAGGGAGAAACTTCATCATTAACACTCATTTATAAAATATCTTCATTAAAAAATAATCTGAACATATTGACACAAGCTCAGACTGAATCTCTTGTACTCCATCCATGAAAAAGAGCAATTTACTTAAAATCAATATGCTTAAAATGATAAGAATTAGACGGAAGAGGAATATCTGTAACAAAGAAATTTTATGGCCAAAATTTGACTACCAGAAATATTTTCATGAGTAGACTAATTTCTCATTTATTATGTCTAGATCCTGGTGCTTTCGATTGTTTTAAATGTCTCCATCCTGGGGAATTTGTTGTTTCCCTGAAGAGTTTATTGGTATTTTGAAACTTAAATCCCTTTTTAAAAAATTCCATTTTTTAAAAAATGACAAGGCATTATGTAGCATGAAAAGATATTTATTTTTAGTTCATAAAGTTTTGGAACTTCATGAACCAACACATTTCTACCCTTAGGTGATTTTTTAAAAAGTAATAAACAACATGGCTAATTTTATTAATATTTATAAGTGAAATTCCTTCTAACACTTTTGTCACTACCGACTAGGATACATCATGCTAAGGATCAATGAGATAACATATTAAAGGACAAGGCAGTTCTTAATATTTTTGTTTTAATCACTTAACAACATGTGTTGTAATTTGTTGATTCCACTAGAATATCAAATTTTCTAAAAGAAGAAGAAGAAGAATTAGAATTATTTACAAATTTTCCAAAATAGCAAAAATCTGTTCATACATCTCTTTCAGGCTAGTTTAAATATGTCCCATGTATTCTCACATTGTCTCAATTCATAAAGGGAGCTATTTGTGTACCTGTTTTAAAAACATTTCATCTGATTTACAAAAGATAAGGCAGTGTTTGGGGGAAGTTAGATGACTTAAACATAGCTAATAAAAGGTGAAACAGGTATTTATACACATACCAGTAAAATTCTGAAACTGGAAATCTAAAACTTTCTTCTAAAACCATCTTATCTTTCAAAACAAGGTGAAGGAAAATCCCTCTAGAGAAATGCAAAATAGTGAACGGAATCTGTGAATTTAAGCAGGTGTTTACAAAACAGAAGGGAAAACACATGACTACCCTGTATCCCTAGGCAGAATGAAAAAACTGCTCCTAATGAATCCTCCCTTTCACTACAGAGGCAAACACCCCAGAGGCAGTGGGGCTTTTTAAGAGCAGAAAAAAGGATCATAAATGGAGACAAGACAGAAGGTCCTAGCTTTTAATGGCCCCTGACCAATGGATATTTTTTAATAGGAAGCTCTCTGATAGACAAATGGCAAATTGGAAATCTGGAAAGTCCAGGAGGCTTTTGGAGATTCTGTAGTCCTTGAGGGGGTGAGTGGTAGGAAGCTCTCTTAATCTTTCTTTTGTGTATTAATGGGTTCTGAACAATTAGAGGAGCTTGGTTAGGGCTGTGGAGAATAAACAAGACACTGACTGCTTAGACCTTGCTTGAAGATCCAAAAAGAAAAAATGGAGAAAGGCATACCCTTTTCCTCTTTTTTGGTCCATCCATGCAAGTAACAAGTTAGGAAAGAAAGAAGGTAGCAGATGCAGCAGCTCTGTCTAGGAGTGAAGACCCTATCTTTCCAGACCTCTACTTTTATTATATGTATTATACATGATTATAGTGGAATAAGTGCAAGAGGCATAGGAAGGGTTTCCACAAAAATAAAGAAGTTTAAACTTTAGGATCTCTCACTTCAAAGGGCCCTTTCCAAAGATCTGGAAGGTGCCTTATAAAATTTTTATTCATAGCTTTAATTCTATTGTAATTAATATAGAAATATATTGTTTATATGATTATGTGTATGCATATCTGTATGTGTATATATATATGTACATATAGTAGTCTTTTTATATAAAATTACAACTTGAATTCACCAGGGAATCTTTCAATCATTAAAGGAACTTCCAGTATTTTTGGACATATGCACTAAGCCAGTTTGTAAACAGAACAAAAAAGGGATTTCATACCTTGAAAAAACTAAGTATTCTAATCATTTAATAATTCTACACGAGTATTTGATTTTTAGTTGCTTTGTAAATATTGTATAATTTACTCATTTATCTCTTTTGGTCTATAATAGAGATAGCTGTTGCAGGAAACGGAGAGCTAGTTTTTAAAATATGCCCAATGTATGCTCTTTAATTTCATCCACGTCACAATAACATTGTTAGCTCCATTTTACAAGTGTGGAAATAAGGGCTCAGGAAGGTTAAATATTCACCCAAAGTTACTTTACTATTAAAGGGCAAAGATGGAATTCAACTCAATCCTGCCTGACTCCAAAGTCTAATCATATTTATTTATTTATTTATCTATTTTTTTTTTTACTAAAATACACTGTCTTCCTCTAAATCATGAGTCAGCAAACAAAGTTCCACTGCCCAAACCTGGCCCACTGCCTATTTTTGTACAGTTCATGAGCTAAGAATTGTTTTTACATTTTATTAATAGTTAAAAAAAAAGCAAGAATAATATTTTATGGCACATCAATTATATGTAATTCAAATTTCAGTACCCATAAATAAAAGTTTTATCTGTGACACACTTATTTGTTAATATATTTTCTATGGCATCTTTGTGCTACCATAGCAGAGCTGACTAGTCAGCCTACAAAGGCTGGCCCTTTTACAGAAAAAGGCTGCTAACTGCTAATTCTGCTCTCTAAAACTTCTGTAACGATAAAGTTCAGCTGATAGTATAATCTTCTCCCAGTGAAATGCGATATAAGACCCTTGATTTAAAAAAAAAAATGTTTTTTAAAAAGCCAGTTACTATATATGAAATATTGGGACAAGAATGGTAAATTTTTCCAACAGACTATCCATATAAACTTTCAATTAAGCACTTACTATAAGAACTTCTTGATGTTCTCAGCTTTCAATTCATTCAAAAATGCCTTCCTCATGCTATGTTGTGGAACAATGTGAGTAGCTTCATTAGAGGATTTCATAAACCAACCTGAAAAATACATCCAAAAATAGGAATGAAGTATGTGTTCATAGACAGGACTTATTTTTCTTTATTGTTGCATGTACCATATTAATACTATGTACAACACAAATTATCAATCACCTCTAGCTTTAGGTGAGATTTTTTTGAAGTTTAATTTCTCTTGCCTACTTCTACCAAAAAAAATCATACAAACAGATTTTTAAATTATAAACCAATTGCAACACATTTTTTTTTTTTTTTTTTGAGACAGAGTCTCGCTTTGTTGCCCAGGCTAGAGTGAGTGCCGTGGCGTCAGCCTAGCTCACAGCAACCTCAAACTCCTGGGCTCAAGCAATCCTCCTGCCTCAGCCTCCCGAGTAGCTGGGACTACAGGCACGCGCCACCATGCCCGGCTAATTTATATATATATATATTTGTTGGCCAATTAATTTCTTTCTATTTTTATAGTAGAGACAGGGTCTCGCTCAGGCTGGTTTTGAACTCCTGACCTTGAGCAATCCGCCTGCCTCGGCCTCCCAGAGTGCTAGGATTACAAGCGTGAGCCACCACGCCCGGCCACAACACATTTTTTATCCAGCTTCAATGACTGGTGAACATTGCTGTTATTCTAAGAAACATTTTACAGGAAATCAGCACTAAAATTAAATATGGTATTAATGTTTTGACTAACAGGGATAAACAAGATCTTTTGAAAATGAAGGCGAAAAGGAGATCCACCTTCTTTCTCCATAAAGCTTCTATTTTCAGTGACTGCTCCTTTATTGACCTAGAATAAGCATTTAAAAAAATTTTTATCATCTGGGAATGAGAGGTAATGTTGGAAAAATAAAATAAAGGAAAAGAAAAAAATGAAAAAAATTATAATGAATTAATTATGAATATATTTCAAGTACACAAATTATTTCAAACTATTGAAGGAAACTCAGACCTCTAATTTGCTCTGGTTCTTAAACTCATACAAAATGTGCTGAGATTTTGTGTTTTCAGTTGAAGCAGGCTTGAGAAGTTCAAGTTCAGAAAGCTACAGTGAGACTACAATTTAGCCAACATCTCTGCCAGACAGCCAAGGGTACAAAAGAGCCCAGAGGCAATAGCTAGCCACATCATGTACCATTAGCCTCTGCAGTTGGCTATTAATCTGAGGGGGACACAGTCCAACACTCTAGGGCTTATTTAGGGAAATTATAGGATCTGGAGCAAAATTTTTACAAAATCAGCACCCAGCCAGCTTTCATGGAGCTTTCCAATTATTAATGACATATATACAAATACATATATTAATGAACATTAAAATACATAATTGGAGAGGAGATAAATGATTCCACCTATGCATAAAAACAAGAGAAATTGGATTAGAGTGTGGGATCACGGAAGGATACAACGATGAGATGCTTGAACTGAGGTCTGAAAAATGAACACAATGATGAGGATGAAAATGTGTGGGGGAGGGAAAAGCAGAGAATCCTAAGGGAGAAAAAAACAGTAATAAAGGACCCATTCTGTGTCAGCCACTGAGCAGTGAATAGAGGCATGAGGGTGACACCAGGAAGAATAAAAAAATACCTTGAAGGGATGCAAAATATTCTAATTCTCATGCAGACCTTACCAAATCAAATTCCCCATTTTGCAGTTGAGAAAATGGAAATTTGATTTGAAATGTATCCTTGTTAAGCTTACTCATTTAAAACCCACAACAACCCTCTGTGGTTACTAAGAACTACATGTTAGTTATGGGTAGTGTATGTGATGCAAAAGTCTTTGATCGATTCCAATGTCACACAGAAAGCCACAAGACACTGAGTAAATCAAACTGGTCCACGCCCTACTCTTCTAAATCCCAGAAAAGGAATCTAAACTTCCGAGCAGAGCAGGAGAGGACTACCCTCTAACCTCGTGATACCTAAGGCTAGTCCTGTGTGTTAAAGTCCAATTCCTTGCCAAAAAGAAAAAAAGTGCTAAAAAAAAAAAAATCCCAGTGCTGTGCTAAGAGATTTACCTGCTATTTCATTTACTACTGCCAATAAGTTGCAGAAAACATCTTCATCATAAAGACAGGGAAACTAAGGCTGAGGGAGGTTGGGTAACTTGCTGAGGCCAGGAAAAAAGTGGCAAAGCTAAAATTAGAATTTAAGTCTCTGAGCTCGCTTGTCCTGCTCTGGTTTTCTTGGAGAGGTGGTAAAGTCTGCAAATCGGTACACAGGGAACAACGCCAAATACCGGCTGTTAAAGATGGGTTCAGAGCCTGACACTAATTCACCCAGTTCCCAAATGTGCCTCAGTTACTTCCAAGGAGGAAAGAACGAGAAGAGAAAAAGACTCCCTTTGCAGCAACGTCCTAAATTCTATCATCAACCTGGAGCAGCCTCAGGTACCCGACCATATAAAAAACCCCAAAGGAGAGAGGGGCAATTCCTGCAAAGCTCCCTGAGCGACTTTGATCAACAGCCCCCAGAGTTCTACGCTCATCCTAACACATGCTGTGTCTACGCAGCTTGTCTAGAACTCAAGCCTGCACCGCGCCCAGCAACCCTCCTGCCAACTCGTGGGGGCTCATCCCCACAGTGTCCCCACTCAAACTGCCGCCTGGGGGAGAGCGACAGGACCCCGCCCAGCAGCCGCCCCGGGGCAGCGGGGAGGCTCCGAGGCTCACGGGCTAAGCGCGCCCCTACCTACGAGGAAGCCCAGGGCAAAGAGGCCGGCGGCCAGCACCAGCGCCCCAGCGCAGAGCCAGCGCGGCCGGCGCCCGGCGATCGCCAGCGAGCCGGGTTCGTCCAGGAGGTTCCACATCGCGGCGCGAGTCGGGCCGGACCTCCCCGCACCTGCGCCTGCGCTGCCGCCCAGCGCGCGCCCTCGACCCGCAGCCCAGCGGCGGGATAAGAAGTCTGCCTCCCACCAATGCCTCGCTTTTCAGTCCCTGGAGGCTGGCACTCGCTCCCAGCCCTCAGGTCTAGCTTCTCCGCGGTAAAAGTATTTATTTACAGCTTAAGCTGAACCAATCAGAGCGAAAGGACGGCGTTATCTGCCTCCAGGAGGAGGAAACCCGGCCCCTTTCCAGAGGCGCTAAAGAAAAAGTTTCTCTTGCAAATTTCCAGCTCTGGAAACTCCGCCCCTGCCCCGCCTTCCGGCGCCTGGAGCCGGGCGCAGAACTCCCGACGCCCGGGGAGGGAGAGGCGGCGACTAGAGGCCGTGGCAGTTGCTGCTCCCGGTCTGGCGTCGCCAGCCGCCCTCCCGTAACACACCCTCCGCCGACTCGTGGATACCTGCGGGGCCACCCCGAAATAAAGGCTCATCTTTCTCCCGGGAAAGATGCCCGCAGCCCCGCAGAGGCAGGGGCTGGAGCTTCCTAGGGAACTCAGCAGAGACGGGCTCCTTGGTTTGCAACTCTTCTCCCACTGCAGTGACCTGCAGGCAAGAAGTCAGTAGGTCCAGACACCTGAGCGAGGCGGGGTGGTGTAAAGAACTCGTTCTCGGGCTGCAGACAGTCTAAGGCTACAATCCTACCCTGACACTTACCAGCTGTGTGGCCTTAGGCAAGCCACATGACTTCTCGGGGTCCCAGTTCCCTTGAAGAAGTCACAGGAGAGCAGTGCCTAAATAAAGAAGGCTGAAGTTCAGTGGCAGCATAGGGTTGAGAACTTCAGTCTGGGAGCTGAACTCCCACTTTCTGCCTCTTACTAGCTGCCTTATCTTGGAAGAGTTATTTAACCCCTCTCCAGCCTCAGTATTATGTCCTCAGTTGCCTCCAACGGCTTCCCATCTCACTAAGGGTAAAAGCTAAAATCTTTATAATGGCCTACGACATCCTCTCTCCTCTGGCCCTCTGCCACCCCTCTGACCCCATCCCCTACCATTCTCCTGCTCCATCTATATTGGCACCACCAAGGCCTTTGCTCACTGCTCCCTGTGAGGTTCTCTCCAAGATTCCATGTGGTTCCCTCCTTGTCTCCTCCAGTTATCTGTTCAAATGTCACCAGATCAGAGAGGCCTTCCTTGGCCATCCTGTTTAAAATAGCAAAACCACCACCTCCACCTCCACCACAGTAATCTACCTGCTTTCCTTCCAATTCTCTGTTCTCTTTTGGTACTTTTTCTCCACAGCACTTAATACCATTTGGCACACTATATATTTTACTTGTTTGTTCACTATCTCCCTACAGATTTTTATCTGTTTTGTTCACCTGTATTCCCAATACTTAAAACAGTCATTGGTATGTAATAAACATTCCATCAATAAAACAAAAATAAAGGAAAAAGAAAATTTCCAACTCTTGCTTGTTTAAAAAAGAGAGGAGTGGGGAGAGACCCTCCTTTCTCCTCTCCTATAATTCTCAAGACATTTTTCAGCTCTGAAATTCTGTAAAATACAATACTCTACTGAGTAAAGTCAGGTGGAAAATGGTGCACTGGTTTGGATAATCAGAGAGGGTTGGCATCAATGTAAATCCCCACCCTCCTCTTTCTTTTAATACTTTCATTCTGTGCTTCCACTTTCCCAAAGCAAAGCATTTGCTATTCCTTGAATATACCCTGGATTTTCAGCCTTTGTGTATGCTGCTGGTCTCAGCCAATGTGTTTCTTCTCATCTCCACTGGCTCAAATCCTGACTGTAATTTACAGTGCTGTTAAATGCAATGCATCCATAAAGCACTCCTGCTCAATGCATGGTCTCCCTCATGGAGCATAAGAACACGGTCGATTTTATAAAGTATGTAGTTATTCTCTCCTTTTAGATACAATTATTATTAAGAATTTGTAACTGGGATAGAATTATGTGTGATTCATCCTTCTGGTTAATTCAACAAAGATTGATTTTGTATCCAATATGTAAGACAGTGGCCCAAACCAGCTGGGATATGAAAATGAAGTCCCTGCCTTCCACAAATTCCAATATTATTTCTTTAAAAATGGTTTTATAATGTAAATGGAGGATAGTACTCTACATGTTTATTAATAACAATGATATTTATTAGAAGAAAGAGAATTGAGTATTATTAAAAGAAAGATTATTGAGTATTTTGCAACAGAGCGAGACTCTATCTAAAAAAAAAATTCTGAGCACATTTAAGGTAGGCTAGGCTAAGCTGAGATGTTCAATAAATCTTGGGTTTAAATCTTTTAAATCTATCTCAATCATCCACATATGCAACTGTAGGCAAATTTTCAGTTTTTCCTCTTTTAAAATATCTGCTACTCTGCAGAAAAAGCTCTTCTCAAAGTTACCAGTGATCTACATCTTGCCAAAAGCAGTTGTCAATTCTCTTAGATTCCTTTTTCTTATTTTTCTTTCTTTATTTTATTTTATTTTATTATTTTATTTTATTTTATTTTATTTTATTTTTTGTCTTTGTGGAATAACTGAAGCTTGTGGTATAGTATTGCTGTGAGAGGTCTTTAGGCCCATATCCATTCTTACCAAATAGGAAAAACATGGCAAAAGTGTAGGTTTCCATCAAGACTGGAGGTATTTAGACTCATGTAGGAAGATATTTTAAATAATACACAAGCCAAAGAAAATTAAATCCAATGATATAACCACCTGGGTGGGTTTACAGAGTCCTGTGGAAAGAATTAGGGAAAATTCAAACTCAAACATATAATCTAAATGGGCTATGAGATTTTCAAGGCCATTTATTAGCTGTATTGATATTAACATCAATTATTCATACAGTGAGTACAGATAGGACTCAGTATATCTAATCACAGTTACAGATGTTAGTGTCCCTGTTTGTATCTTACTTAGATCAATACTCTCCCATCACCTAAGAGAATATTCTCAAAGACTCTGTGATGACACTGTTGTTTTCTTTGTACTTTTATAATATTTAAATTTAAACATAGAAGTGATGGGTAATTGAACCCATTAATTGTAAGAAATTTAAACATATTTAGTATTTCAAAAAATGTGATGTGTGCTGTTTAAAAGAATTTGGCCTATTCAATGAGCCTTGATTGAAATGTAAGCTGTATAATTAAGTAATTGAGCTCATTTTTGGGTTTTAAATTGAAAATACTTACTATATTTATATGCACTATTACTGGAATATATAAAATAAATTAAGATTCCTCATGATTATAAATTAAATTCATTGGACTTACAAAAATCAATTTTAAATACTTAGAAAGATTTATTAGACCCCTGAAGTTCCTAGCAAGTTAATAGGATACATTAAATTTATAAATGCTGTTTAAAATGGTCAATAGTATTTAATTAAGCACATAAAATAAGACAAAAATTATAATGATCCCATAAGTTATTGTTAACATTTATTAGATTTATAAATAGAATAAGATATATATGCTAAACATAGAGAAGCCAAAGAAGAATGAAATCTTTAAAAACAAAATTCTATCTTTAATAAATCAAATATTGATTATAAAAGTCAAAGCAAAACTCTGAATAGTTTTCTGTATAAACCCACCCTCAAGAATTTGTAAAATGTCACAGTGCAGACAATCCAAGAGTTTAACAAAGTTAAATGCTAATTCCATCATTAACACTTTTTCTTCTAGACTATGTGACACCACTTTCCTCTGAAACAGACTGATGTTCCTTCTTAGTCTTCTTTGCCAGCTCCTTCTCCTTTACTAGACCTTTAATTGTTGGAGTGTCCCCAGCTCTCCCTTTGGCACAGCTCTTTTTGTTCTGTAGTATCTCTTGAGGTAATTTCAAACTCTAAATATCATCTGTGCCCTGACAGAAACTGGCTAGCAGTTCACCAAACACATTTCCCTGTTGTCCTGTGCACACAGCTAGACCACATGTCTCAGTTTCCCTTGAAGGTAGGTGTGCCCACGTTATTCCGTAAGAGTTACTAAAATATGAGAGGAAGTCATATATGCTACATCTAAGCTTGGCCTCCAAAAACTCCTAAACAATGTTCCCCTCTCTCTATTTACCCCAATCATTTGGCTAAATACAGAGGATCTAGCAGAAGAGTCAGAGGCCCTGGGGGATGGTACATCCACAGATAGAAAATGCTTAGATTCTTGAACCCTTGCTAGAAGCAATCAATAACGCCCAAATGGATTTTTATGGAAGTAAAAAATAAACTACTTGTTAACCCAATGGATTGATTTGTTACATCAGTTGGTGTCACTGAGTACTTCTGATCTTCACGGAAGCCTGCATTTTTTTTTTTTTCGTGTTTATTGTCCACCCAGACTTCTCCCTTGAGATTCAGAATTAAATGTATAATTGCTTAATTGAAGTCTCCACCTGCAAGTTTATTAAATGGCTCAAACTTCACACAGTCAAAGAGAAGTTGGTCAACTATCCACTGTCAAAAAAACTTACTCTCCACCTCCCCAGTACCAACCTCACTTCTTGCCTAACTTCCCTGCTTGTCCTATCGGGATAAATGACACCACTTTCCTCTGAGATTCAGGCTAACATCCAGCCATTCTTGACTTTCTCCTTTACTCATACCCAGCTATCACTACTGTAATCCTACAAAAACAAACAAACAAAAAGTCATATTATCTTTTGCTTGAAAACTGTTGCCTTCAGTCTTTTTTCCCTCTAAAGTTTAAACCCTTCATCAAGTTGTACAAATCTTTCCAAAATCTCATACAAATCTATTCTTGTGATGGGCATCCACCTTGAAAATCTCTTGCCTCTGGGCACGGTTAATTGGATGAAGAATAAATATCTGATTCAGCTGGAGAGAGTCTTTTTGCTGAAGTGCTAAATTGAAGTTTAAAGTGGTTGGAAGTGTTATGTATGTGACTAGTCAGCTTCTGCCTACCACATGGGATAACAAACAAAGCAGGATTAACTAGAAAGTAGAATAAAGTACATGTCCAGAGAGGAGCAGAGACAGTATTAGAAATGCAGTACTCCCTTAATTCACGACCTCCAAGATCTCAGTTTCAGTTTCTTGAGACCAGTTGTCCTTCCTATCTTTGGTTCAGTGAAAGTTTCTTATAATAACCCCTGCCACCCTTAATCCTTTTTGCATAAACTAACTGGAGTGGGTTTCTTTTACTTGCAGGGCAGGGTCCTGAATGATTAAGCTCTCACTCATGCAGCACTACTGACTCAGACCCTGCCCCTGTCA